AGAGTGTTTAGTTCTTAAAATCAGCCCGACCCTTTCATTTTAAAAGCTAACAGTCAGCCGAGTTCCAAGTTGTAGTCCCAGATCTATCAGTAGCGTTCTGTTCAAATTCAAGTTGCTTCACTTGGATACTCTTATAAGGTGGGTTAAACATTAAAACTTTTAAGGGTAATCACCACCCTTTGCTTAAGATAGCTGCAAAAGACGTATTTAAACATGTTTCTGCTCAACACAGAGGCAGATGCAAGGCTCCACAGGAATCTGAACCATCTATGCAGAAGAGTTGCTTCACTGCGTACTGTTTTAGAAGGAGTACTCTGTGTGCGGGGATTGAGCTCAGAAAGGGACTGAGGAAAAGTGACACGGTGTCAGTCAGCTTTGGTTCAGCCTTAGGAGAAGCTGAGAGAAACTTCTGCACTGGGGGTGGGCTGGCTGGAAGACACTTGGTGCTTTCAGCAAGGAAAACACAAAGACACACAACTTCACCATTAATTTCTTCTAACTGAAATACTCTACAAGACTCTGGACCTGAGATAGCTTCTAGAATCAGAAGGAAGAACAATATCTTAGTTTTCCTTTTCTGTAAAAGAGGGATATTGCCTCTATACTTACCGCTGTAGAAATATTAATTAGCATATATAACCCTTTGAACAGAGCACTATACAAATGTTAAGTATTATTCAATCCAAAGGTCAAATGAATTTCCACCTCCCCCTAGCTATAAGACAAATCACGAAAATGTTAGCAAAAAGTCTCTGAATCGTCTGCACCCTTATTTTTATTCCCTTTATACACAGTAGGGAGGAACATGTATTTGTGAGAAGCAGCATGCTGTTGTAAAAGGCACACAAGGCAAATAAGCGACTGAGAAACACCAGGACTACCCACCTTCAGCACAATACACATGACACTGACATCTTGTAATGACTGCTATTCAAGCTTTGGGCTTCATTTTTTAAACCAGTTTAATTATTAAAATGTAAATCTGGCAGGGGACACTAATTATTCAATCACTACTCTGAGTGATGAGCTGAACATTTTGTGATCACGTACGCCAACTCACAAAAAGTTGAGATTACTTCAGCAACAAAAAAAATTCCTTCGCTCTTTCTGCTGCATGAGCACAAGTGGCAATTTCAATGCAACAGGGCCAGGGAGTGCTTACAGCGATGAAATTACAGTGACCCAAAGAGAAACTACCGCCTCAGCAACTCTTATTCCTGGTAGACGCTGAAATGGGATTATTTTTGGTCTTCTCAATGATTTTCTTAAAGAAAACAAGCAAAAGTCAACTCATGGGGCAAACCTCTGCTAAAAGGACAGCTGGGTTTCCAGAAGATAGGAAGACGGAAGAGATAGAAGACAAAGTTACCAAAGAATTAAAATATAAAACATATTTTATTTAGCTCTTCTTTCTTTCTTTCATTTTACTAGGAAATGCTTTCCTAGTAGAAGAATACATTGAAAAACCAATATATATGTTTAGCAGGTCAAGTAAGAGCGATTCTACCATTTAACATCTCACCCCACCTTGTGTCAGGAGTGACTGATACAGTCCCCAGTGTCTGCAAACTACAGTCAGGGGCCTATAAAGTGGTAACAGGTCACTGAGTCATTTAAGGCAAGTTTTTGGTTTAGTGGACACAGGTTGTTACAAAAAGCATTTAAGGTGAACTGCTGATTTCCTCCGGAACTGGACAGAGCAAACTAAAATGATTTAGCTGTAAGAAAATGGTCTGAAAGGCCAGAAGAACGATTCCACTCACCTGGTACTTCAACTGTCGGAGATTTTTCCCGGGTTTGCAGCCTGTACACCAACATGTAAGCATTTCGAGAGCAATGAGTCCCTTTCCCACACTTGGGTTTACGAGTCTGAGATTTAGAAGGCTCTGCTGTGGCACAGAAGGCAAAATGTAATAAGTATGCATTCTACTGTATTTATTTTCCCTTAACAGGGTGAATCCAGAGACAAGGTATCTTATCTAAATTCATCCCCTCCCGCATGTATTCACTACCTCCAAGTATGCTAAACTTCTTCTCCAATGGAAGACTGCGTGTGCAGTCTCATCCATGCAGATTCCCTTATACCAAGTAAATGTTTCAATGCTTGGGGTAAAGAAAACGTTTAAATGTCACTCTATCCATAAGGGAAATGTGTTCCTTCCCACTGTGTGACAAAACCTGTAGGCATCAAACTGCAGGGTAGGAAATGCGTTATTTCAGATATCTGATTCCAAGTGCTAGCTTCGAATGTACTTGAGACAGGGGGAAAAAACGTGACCATATGCTACCAACTCATGTTTTTGAACTTGTCATTCTACTTTCACCTGCAGCCTGAGACAATGGAACGTTTTGAGTGCGTGCATCTAAATTTCCAGCATTACGAGCTAATTTAAGTAACAAAAAAAAAAAAAAAAAGCTTCAGCTCAAATTCAGTGGTGTATATGGAAATTTCATCTCTATTATTTATGCATGTAGAATTCTTGAGGAACTCAGACGCTATCACAAAGCCCATCTTGTTGTGAATTTAGGTGCTTAGACCAGAGGTTAGCAACCCAATGGCAGGCAGAGCTGGGGGGCTTCTGCTATGTTTCAGAGGCCAGGTGGCAGGGAGAAGTCATAGTGGTGGCACTGCAGGGGAGAGTGGTAGCTGTGGCAGTTGCAGTGGTCTGGGCTGTGTTGGAAGTAGCCTGCACTTGTAGCTAAGCTGTGTGAAAGCAGCCCGTCACTCCATAATCTTGCCATTCCATGACCTAGACAGATCTCAGCACCACCTTCCTTCCCAATTTCTACAAGCACTTATAAAATCTGTCCTGCCTGCTGGGTCAGAGGTTCAAGGACACTGCCACCCTGCAGCAGATAAAAGCAGAGCCTTTTCACGGCAATCTGCTTATATACCAAACTTCTTCCACTGCTGAGTGTGCAATAGCCTCTGCCCTTGGAGGAGAAAAAGAACCCTGACCAGAGATTTTGGCAGGAGCTGGTAAATAATTTTAAATCCTGATGAATAATATTTTTAATTGTAACTGCTTGAGGCCCCAAGCCCAGAGACTTAAAATATGCTTTACATTAAGAATGCGAATACTTCCTTTGCCTTCAGTAAACGATGCACACTTAATTTTAAGCCCATGCTTCAGCCTTTGCAACACCAAGACCTATCTGGTTTTACAGTTTCAAATTGTTGTCTCTTCTTTCTGGCTTGTTCAGGGGGTGAACAGGAAAGGTCAGAGAAAGAAGTATCTGTGTTTCAGTGGGTTTACTTCTGCATCTTACATTGCTACCTGTCTAATCAGGTTCATCACTGTTGACGGTCAGGTGCATCACTCAGCCACTAGCAGGACACCATCACTGCTCTGGCAGGGCTTTGCATACAAGCTCGTCATCAGGTTCTGCAAGAGGATGTTTACCAGTAGTAGCAGCAAAGCTGCAAATGAAGAGGCAGCAGACAGATGTGTGGAGAGAAAGTAGTGAGAAACAGGAGCAAGGTTTAAATGTGCTTGGCAAATCTCTCAGGAAACCTTTATAAAACCAAATGTGGGAGAAGGTTAAAAAAATTGAGGGTTTGTTGTTTTTTTTTAAATTCAGGGCACCAGAACGTGACTTTAGGTTACTTAACGCTTGGAAATGTTTGGGGAATTTTTTTTCCTACTTGCCTTTTAGTTGAGAAATATCTAAATTTTACTTTCCTGCTTTTTATTAAAGGATTGAAATGGGGATTCTTAAAATCTTTTCTTAGTACTCTGTTAGAGCATTTATTTGGATCTCTACACCTATGACGTGTTGAGTGTTGACTCATTAGTGTTACTCAGGCATGTCTGTATTTGCATATTCAAATGTTGAGACTATTGATATTCATACATCCTACAAATGCATTGTGGGCTAAGCCAGCTGCAGCTGAAGTCTCAGCCTAAGCTCTACAGCAAACATCATGAAATCAAGATCCAACATTGCCAAGGTAATATGAAAACAGGGGGTGTTTTCTCTCGGAGTAAGGGAGAAAGGCTGAGCAGGATGTAGAAGAAAATCAAAATTGCACAAATAAAAGCTTACTATTAGCTCTCTTGAAACCATATAAAAAAAAACTTGCTTTCCATTAATAAAACCCCATTTGGTTCACTAGTTTAGGCAAATAGTTTGTTCAAGTTTTACTCTGATGTGCAAGTTAATCATTTTAAACCAATTCATTTCTAGGCAAAAGCTTGCTATTTGCCATGTTATAACTGAGAAGAGAACTGCAGTCAAGAAAGACTGTACAAGACAAACATTCAGATGAGGATCCGGGATTAAACCTGCTGCAAGTAAGGAAACTGCAGTTTTGTTAGTTACCCATTAAATGCAGCTCTGTTATTACCAATTGTTCATACATGTATCAGGGCAACTGATTTAGCTTCCAAGTTTTTGGTGAAAAAAAGAGTTATTTTAAAAGGGCACTCACAACTTAAAGGTTTTACCTAGATCTTCCTCAATCCCCAATTGCAATTTCTTTCCCTCCATCTTTTCTATGTCTTCATCATTAAACTTGTACCATTCACCAGTCTGTGGGTCCTTCACATGAGCAATGTAATGACCAGAGTATGCACTCACTCCTCTGTGGATAAGGACTGCACTGAGTTCATAGACATAGACGCCATCTGAAAGAGAATAAGCAGTTCTTTTATTTTCTAGGGACCATACAAATCATTCGTCTGAAAGCTTTTAAGAATTAAAAAAGTTCTTCCTAATACAAAAGAGCATAAGTGATTTTTCTCTTCTCTAGGTTTTGACCTTGAACAAGAGAGAAGCAGAGGCCAAGTAGGACTTTATCTTGCAAATCTAGTAACCAAAGAGTTTCACTTAATAGTCAGAAATTAAGAAACTTTTATAGAAGTTGTTAACCACTGCTGACAGTTCAACATGGGAGCAAACACTGCTTAAGCTTCCATTTTAAGTAAAGATATTGATAAAAAGAGCTAGAAATGTTTTAAGCTGCAAACAGGCAATCGCTTCTACTGGTAAAAATTTCTCTGAAATTTTTCCTGGTAGAAAAGTAGCTCGGGAGCTGAAGCGTACATGTATTCCAGCCCTTGGCTGGAGAGCTACAAAGGTGAGCTCTCCAGCCACGGGGCACTAGAGGGCTGAACCTTGGGCCAAACCTGCCCTGAGGGGAGCCCGTTACTTGACAGTCTGCCTCCTTCCCAGGCAGGGGAGAGGACAAGCTGTCAGTAGGCTGACCTCCCCACCCCCAGGTTTTAAATGGCTTTGTGTGCAGCCCATCTGAGCTGCATGTGGAGTGATTTAAAGCTGGAGGTAAATGGGGCTGGGAGTAGCCTCCTTGATCGCAGGTCCCAGCTCCCTGATTTTTAAATTGTCACATATAGACGCATGGGTACAAGTTAGTACTTTTCACACAACTCACTTCGCTGTTCCATAAAAGGCTCCATGTCAAGCAGTTCAGAGAATCCAATGTAGGTATTCAGCTTTTTCTTATGGCCAGTTTGTCTGTTCAAAAAAATCAAACCACAAAACGTTCAACAATACATGCTCAATGCAACAATAAAAGAGAGACTAAACATGCAGAAAGATGTTTTCCAAAATCTGTACATATCTATTATATGTTAATCATATGGATTTCTTAATGTTCACTTATCATTCCAAAGGGCACAAAAGCTCAAACTCAAAGCACTTAATTCAGACCTGAATAGCACCCAAAGTGGAAGCGAATGTAGAACAGGTCATTTTAAATATTTGGGCTACCCAACGCACCTCCCTCTC